TAGAAATGAAGAAAGCCGTGTTCTCGTGAGAAATGCATGCAAGACTAACATTAAAATGCGAACAAACTCAAATATATCATGTATATACAGTACACACACACAAACAAAGACACACACACACACACGCACACACACACACATCCCTAGGGGCAAACGCAGAAATCCAAATTCATACAAACACTCACATACTCACCATTATCACTTTCATCATCTTCATCATCTCTTTTTTTTTTCATCGTCATCGTCGTCGTCATCATCCGCGAAGACCGAAGACACGGCAACGATGAACACTTCATTAACTACAAACAAGTGCAATTCATCATATTGCAGCCTAATTAACGTTGCTCAAACGTCATCATTTCGATATTTCTCAGCAAGTCGTCAATGACGTTATTGTTATTAGTGCCATCGTTGTCGTTGTTGTTGTTATTGTTGTTGTCATTATTGTTATAGTTATTTCAATTGTTACCATTGTCTTGCCATTGCTTTTGTTGCTGCAATCATTTTGTAATTATTATTATTATTATTATTATTATTATTATTATTATTATTATTATTATTATTATTATTATTATTATTATTATCATTATCATTAATGCCATCATCGTTATCACTTGCCTTGATAATCGTAGACATCATTAATATCTGTTATCACCGTATAACTTTCCTATTTCCATTCTGACATGAGTGACAAAGTGCAAATACCATCATTGCTATGTTAATGTTGGATATCTCGGTGCTGTGTTTTTTGCAGTTCTACTACAGTTCTACTTCTGAAGATTTTGATTGCCTGGTGAATGGTATTTTTAATATGAAAATAATATGGTTTACTAAGAAATTTTTAAAATATATAACTATAGATAAAATATAAATGAAAATATACCTCAAGCAAAGATAAGATATTCTCGTGTATGAACAATTTGATAGATGAATGAATTGAACACGATGTGGAGTTTGATCACCAACTTAGTTAAACAGGCATCATTCTAAATTGTCTATTCGTTTGTTTGTGTTTATATATTTGTCTGTATATCGGTAAGCATATGTGTGTCTGTCTGTATATCTGTTGCTATATCTGCTTTTACACTTGTCTATGTATCTGTCTGTATATCTGCTAGTCTGTATATCTGTTTGTCTGTCTGTATATCTGCAAGCCTGTATATCTGTTTGTCTGTCTGTCTGTATATTTGCCTGTCTGTTTGTCAATCTGTCCGTGTTCCTGTCACATTCCCCTTCCTCATACGAATTCACATGCAAATATAATTATGTAATCAACATTTTTTCAACGCGAGGAATGCCAACTTGTGTGCATCAATATGAATTTGTCTGCTTGGTTTGTTTTACTTCTTACTCCTTGTTCCGATGTGGTGTTGATGCGTGTGTGTGTGACGCGTGAGTTTATTTTGTGTATGTGTGTATGTTTGAGCTTGGTGTATGTGTGTATGTTTGAGCTTGTTTAAAATGGTGTATGTGTGTTTGTTTGAGATGTCTTTAGCTGACAGTCTCTGCGTTTATTTCGCTTGAATTGTTCTTCTTTTCAAATTAATTTTTTAATGTGAACGATTTTGCTTATGCATAAATGTCTGGCCTAAAACCATGAAAATTAGTAGTAGTAGTACATTTTTTTAACAAAAAATTATTTTTGATTCGCAAATAAAATTTTTGTTAAAATTTTTGGTTTCTTACAAATGAAGAAGTTTATTTGAAAAAACAACATAAAACTGTTCAAAACTGCAGTCATTAATTGCTAACAGGTTAAAAAAAATTTGATCAAAATGTAGAAATTTGTGTATCTCATGTAAATTAGTCAAAAATTCAAAAATCTGTGATTAATTAAAATATCGGGTAAGTCTAAAGGTAGGTACACAACAAATAATATCCAGACTACCTACATGAACTGAGAACAGCAATGATTTATCCGTATTTCACACTTTCAAAAGTGATTGAGTTTTCAATTTCAAAATATTTAAGTGATTTATACATTACAAGTATGGTACGATCACGTGAATCATTCATACAAAAAGTTTTATCAAACAATGTCTTTCTGTATGTAAGTGTATCTGTGTGTGTGTGTATTATCTATATGTGTGTGTGAGAAAGAGAGAGAGAGAGAGAGAGAGAGAGAGAGAGAGAGAGAGAGAGAGAGAGTACGTTTTAGTATGTATGTGTCCGTGTGTCTATCTTACGAACATATAAAAATTTATTTGAATTTTCGAAATTGAATTGAAATATAAAAAAAAATTTGAATTTTATTGTAAATTTTTGAAATCACAATATATAATATATCTTAGATAATTTTTTTTCTTTTCATGTCATATTATGTTGATTACAAATTACAGCTAAATAAATATAAATAAATGAATAAATATGAAAATTAAATTAATAAAAAAATTGAATAAAATTATAAGTAGAATATATACAATGTAAGTTTGCCCACATATTGATACATAACACTGTAACATAATTACTTAACCACGTATTCATGAAATCGGTCAAAAAACTGTCGAGAGAAGCAAATGAAATACGTTGGCCCATGCAAACTTTACCAGTTAAACAGAGCGGGAATAATTCTTGAAATTATGAGAGCGTTTGTTGGAATACGCGTTACATTATGTCGTCGTATATACAAATGCATACATACACGCATACACATAACATAACATATACGCATACTCGCATACATACATTGTGCACACATATACGCATATATGAATGCGTACAGCGCAAGCCGGCAGATATGTTGAAGAAAGTTTTAATGCTGTCTTGCCCGGTCAATAAGATTTAAGGTTTTTTCGGCCCGGGTTCTGTGCGTGTTGTTGATTTTCTTGGCGGCCATTTAGGATTCTGTATAAAAACGTTTAGATATTATTTTATTAAATTTAAAGCAAAGTTTATTAAAATCGTTTAGATTACTTTCTATGAATTATTTTAATAAATTTTAAGCAAAGTTCATTAAAATTGTTTGGAGTTAATTTTTTATGAAATTTTAATTTCAAAATTCGTATATGTATCTCTACTAATTATTCTTAAAATTGCTTGAAGTAGCCAAATAGATGTTATTAATTATCGTAATTTGAATTAATGTTATCATATATAAATGAGAGCAGAATTTATTTGTTATATTCAAATTTTCCAATTTAATCGTTTATATATATATTTAATTATTTGTTAAATATCTTTTTGGCAATCTGATCTTATAAGGTGAGATACAAACTAATTTATTATAGAAAAATATTTGTAGGTATAAAAATAACGGTTTTGCTGAAATGAAGAAAAAAAAAATTGATTAACCTTAATTGGCTTAATTTATTTAATTTATTATACGCCAATGTGTAATCACATTTAGCTCATTAATTTATTTGCCGTGTCATTAATTTAATTTTCTTATGTTAATCATTGAAGAAAAAAACACTTCATTCTCCAAACCTCGTTTTTCTTAATTATTATGCGCGCAGTTCAAGCTTGATATGCTTATTTGGCTTTCACGTGAGAAAATTGTAAATAATTCATTTTGAAACAATCTATACCCTCCATGAAATTAATCATTTAAGGACAATTGTTAGCGCTAATCAAAACAGAAAAACAGTAAAATAGGAAATATGACACGGGGTAATATTAATAATGGACAAATTAAAAAAACGTTAAAACCATCATTTTTATGTGAGACGATTATATAATGACACGTCACAGCAGCATGAATCATGGCCTGAGAGGTGCTAATAAATTTCTGCACGCCAGTTCAATGGCGTAACTTTTTTATTTACACTTGTCAATACCTGCTCGTACCCCATAAAATGCCATTTAGCACATTTGTATCGCTCCGTAGAGATGAGTAATGTTCTATGCAGTTGTGGAAATTTTATTTCATTATATTGGCTTATATGCTTCGTGAAATTTAAAGTAAAATTATTAAATTTCAATCGAACAAAAACGCTGAAGACCTTTTTCTAAGAAAACAAGCTGAGAGAGAGTGAGAGAGAAAGAGAGAGTAAGAGAGAGAGAAAGAGAAAGAGAGAGTAAGAGAGAGAAAGAGATTCACAATATATCTTGTTTTGTTTGATGTCTGTGCAACAAGTGCAGGCAAACATCAGAACTTTGAAACCTAGTTCAGATACCAAAAAGCGGACAGACTGGGTGGATGAATCGGAAATATAAGCTTCTATTTTAATTGCTGCTTGTTCAAATTAAACTTCATTCAAAATAAATATAGAATAAGTGTTTGAGCTTGATATTATATAAATATTTATTGATTTCTATAATTTGTTTTAATGCAAAAGTAAATACTGTCAAGTTTCTATTAAAGTACATTTACAACACACATAACATCATTCATGTACACGGATGACCACGAGCGTACATGCACCTATACAAAACACATACCTCACGAAAGCAGAGAAATATCTGAAAAGCCACGCACACACACACGCACACGCACACGAATGCACGCACATAAGTAATGCATGGTACTCTGACAAAATATGTCACCCTACGCAATCATTTATACGCATAATTTTATATTCAACACGCCAACATGTATACACATATAAGTACACATACTAATACGTAAAGACGCGTACACAAACACAGCTTGTGCACATATCCAACACATACAAAAATACATACAAACGTTTTGATACAAAAGCATACAATTGAAGCCACATATACAAAGGAGCGTATACGTAGAAGCAAAGGTACGCACAAATAAGCAACGCAAGCAAACCCTGCATGCGCGCAGGGAATATTGTGTCTGGCTCAGTACATCTCTCCATACATTCCATACATTCATACAAACAGTGAAAGTTTTGTATACGTTTGTGCATACGTACGTACATTTTTATGACTATACATACGAATAAACTGGTGTACGCACGTACGCACAAGTGTATGCGTGTGTGCACGCGTTTACATGCACGCGTATGCATCTATGTAAATATTTTCTGGAATGTCTTCACCCTGTTCTTCTCTTATCTTCCTCGCTCACTATCCACTCAATTCTCTCGCTATTCTTCTCTCTTATGTCCTATATAACGAAAAATTGAGTTAACTATAAAATTTAGAATGCAACTGCATACAATGAAGTAACTGCATACAATGAAGTAACTGCATATAATGACGCAACTGCATACACTGAAGTAACTGCATACACTGACGTAACTGCATACAATGAAGTAACTGCATACAATGAAGTAATTGCATACACCGACAAAACTGCATACATGACCAGTTGATGTTCCACCGAGCATTAAAGCAGCAGTTTGAAGCAGATGAGCATTTTATACGCTGCACTTGAAGCCATTTTAACAACTCTTAAAATTTTTACTATCAAAATATCCATCACCTTGCATAAATACTCAGTTGTGGGTCTTGTGGCTGTCGTGTCTTTCCAATCTTCAACAGTCGCAACATTCTTCTTCCTGCTGAATGTTTTAAAAAGTATTGCTAATGCTTATATAAAATAATTAAATTAAGCTTGACACTATCATAGCACCTGCAGAAACTGTACATTCATTCATTTATTAATTCATTAAAACAACATTCAATCAATCCTATAATTTATTACTTCAACACGGGCAACACAAATTATTTTGACAATCAAATTTTTTTATTCTCTCACATCATTTACAAAGCTGCCTGTCCACCGCTGAATTTACTTGCTTACTTTGGTCAACTAACTGACTAGGACATCTGGATAATACAACCAATCAACTTGAAACAATTTGTTGTTGTATTAATGTTAGTTGTTAGCCAGTTTACAATTCTTGTAACGGTGAATCTAAGCTTAGCATAACGGAATTATTGTCAATGTTCTGTAAGAAGATGTGTTGTTGGAAATTAAAGTTCAATTAATGTATCACTGATGTTAAAGCGCTCAACAGTTTCACAAAGGATGTGCCCACGTGAATTGAGTGGGCTGCAAATCAATGTTAACATCTAATCAATGTTAACATCTGATCAGTATTAACATCTGATCAATATTAACATCTGATCAATGTTATCATCTGATCAGTATTAACATCTGATGTTAAAAAAAGGATCTCAAGAGCTGAGTCAAACGAGTGGACGACGGACAGCGTGGTGGTGCTCACGCGAGATAATCTCAATTCTCAAATATTTTTTTTATATCAGACTTTGAAATTGTTCGAAAAATTATTTTTTAACAATTTTGTTTATGTTTACAAATATTTAAAACTAAAAAAAAACTAGTTTATTGACAAGCAATTTTAATTTGTAAATAAAATAATTTGGCTCTTAGATAGTTGGGAAAGACGCTGTACAAATACTCACAAGAAATAAGCCGTAAAACTTTCATTAACATTAGACATGGAGATGGCTTGAAGTTTTCCTAATAAAATTCTCTTGTCCTCCTTTCAAGAACCGGAAAGCGATTTATAGAAAAATATATGTTATGATCACTTTAATTTTAAACATTCATTAATTTAACACCAAACCACGTGTCCAAGACAATATTGACATTCATATCGAAATTCAGCCAAAAGAGGATAACTTATTTTGAGGGTTATTCTTGTTTGTGATTCTCAAAATGTGCGCCATCTTTATTCGCGAAGCACCAACAATTCGTGTGCGTATATCAACTGCGCAGAATTTTCTTCCAAGAATTGCGTCTCAGAAATTGTTTTTATTTTTCGACTGCCGAAATTTTTCACGAAATTTTTTGTTTATTTTTCTCTCATTGTCCATTAATGCAGATTCATGACTTCACAAATATCACAATCATCCTAATTTCCGCCATTATCGCCATGCCACTCATCACTTGCACCTCGTCATCATTTTCTTCTTTGTTTGACTTCATTTTTATCATCATCGTCATGACGTCATCATCGTCATCGTCGTCATCATCACCGACCGTGACATCATCGTCGTCATTAAGGAGCATGACTTCAAATCGTTATGGAGTGCAAGAGACCTAGCCTTCCGAACACGCATACATGCATGCGTAGTGATTATTACCATGAACACGAAACAAACCGCACGCCTACGCTTCATTTGGATTTTTTCCCATTTTGTTTGTAGGCAGTCAGCGAGTTGCGCCGATCATTCACGCGGGCGCACTAATGCATGTACACCACATCACTAACATCCTCTTTGTTGTCAAACAAAATCAATTGTTGTTGTTGTTATTATTATTATTATTGTGATCATTTATATAGCGCTTTTTAAATAAACTTTTCAAAAGCGCATAACAGAAATACAATCATTTGAATAAATTTTGCAGTTTACGAGTTCAGCGCTGAAAAAATGTTCAGCTTATTTCATCAAAGCAAAAACACAACAGCATTGTCGTGTTCATCCGCATATTTGGACATACACACACGTGCACACGTACATACACAAGCACACACACACACAGAGATACACGCACACAGATACACTCAACAGAATCTCTACAAGATACACAAGCCTAAGTGCTCGAACAAGATGGCCATGCAACAAAGAGATATTTAATAATGCTTATTGGCGCATGTATATCTACATCACAAGAAGAACAATGCTGGAGGAATGTGTTTGCAGTCTTCCTGACACATTAAATAACGAGCAGTCGGCAAACATATTTTGTGGCAACATGCTGTTGAAATTATTATTGTCGGCACTCCTTATTGCTTTTGTTGTCTTTCTTCGTGTCCTTGTTCGTGTTTTTGTTGCTGCTCGTTTCTGCTGTAACGTACTGTATTAACGTCTTTATATTTCCCGTTACTGTCGTTACTGTCAACTGATTGATGTCTGCATTGCTAATGTTATTGTCGCTCCTAGTAACGTTAATGCTGCTTGTTCAGTGTTCACATCATGTAAAATAGTTTCTGCTTTTTAAAGGTTTCTAGTTTAATTTGATATAATTTTAACATGTGCCGTTTCATTGCCAACAAATATGATGTATGTAACAACTAACTGACCAGCAAACCAACAAATATAATGTATTAATAGTAACTAACTGACCAGCAAACCAACAAATATAATGTATCTGCCCGCTTTACGCGTTAGTCCACCAGCCGACAACTATACTTAAAAAGTTCTTTTAAAAGGAATTCATCAGGCTTAAGACTTATTTTAAAAAATTTTCCTCTGATAGAATTGTTAAAGAAAAATATTTCTAATTGACTGCATATTTCGAGATTACTATTTTTTAGATTGTAAAACCTTGAACAAGGAGTTTGCGACTGCTTAAATAATAAAGTTATGGTTTGTTTTTTGTTACGGCTGGTTCCCTTGTACTTGCCCCAAGTAACAAGTAATTTATAACAAACACAAACATCTTAGACTTATGTAATTTTCAGTGTACTTTATATGCAACAGATGCCAAAACACGTTATGATTAGGATAAACTAATAGATTAGGATAGACAAATACGTCTATCAACGCTGGCATGCAATTAATAAAAATCTAGTAATAATAAATATTCATATTATGCAAATGATGCATTGTGATTTTTCTAAAAATTAATAAACAAATGCTCATATATATAACTACGTAGTGGGTTGATAATTTTAAATTGTAGCTAATGTATGTATGTGTGTGTGTGTATGTGCGTACATTACTTACACAACACTAGGAATGACTGGATGACAAATACGTCTATCAACGTTGGCATGCAATTAATGAAGATCTAGTAATAATAAATATTCATATTATGCAAATGATGCATGTGACCTTGACATTTGTATTTATTTCCGCATGTCTTTCCAATTAATATTAAGCGGTTCATTTGTAATAAATTTTTTATTACCATTATAAATTTTTTATAATTACTGACTGACTGATAATATGTGACGCCTAACTTATTAAACAAAATCTGCTACAGTAAATAATAAGATTTTCTTTTCAATTAAATAAAAGTTTTAAAAAGTAAACTGATTTCAATACTAAACACACTTGCACGTTGTAAAACTCGGTCGGTACAAATTTATTTCATTTCACTGTTTCATAATATCATTTTGGAAACCTTTTTCTAAAGGCCTTTAATAAAAAAACAACAACAAATATAATAATAATAATAATAATAATAATTGGAGGTCCGTGCCAAATGACCCTTCCGTCTAAGGCCTGCCAGTTGACTGGAGTTTTAGCATGTTGTTGCAGCATATTTCGTTGTACGTAGTTGTAAGAGGAGTAGTAACTATAAAAGCAGTTGTGGTGGAAAAAGTACAAAATAACAAATGTGATTGACCGCCATTGACAATGTTATGAAATTAAAAGAAAGTAATTGAATGGGAACATACTTATAATAAAAAAACTAAAAAAATTGATGAATGAACGAATGAACGAACAAACGAACAAACGAACAAACGAACGAACGAACGAACGAATAAATGAATGAATGAATAAAAAAAAATAAATGTCAAAACAAATGTAAAATAAATTCCAACACATTGCAACATTTTCTTGTAGAGAAAATGTTGACAACACAGTCTGCATAGAAAACAAATGTTTCACATTCTTATGCATGAACGAACAAACAGACAAGCAAACGAATGGAAAGACTCATGCACGCACGCACACACACATATATATACACACACAATTACACACACACACACAAACCACGCACGCACACACAGGCATTCGTGCGTACAACAATCAGATAAATCAATAAACGATTAAAAAGAGACAAAAACATAAACTCAAACAACTTTTAGGTTCGAAATGGACACATCCGTAAGGAACCAAACGAACAGATTTCTAGTGTAAATAAATGCATGCTTATTTAAACGTATAACCAAACGCAGCCAAATGTAATTAAATTAAATATAAACATGCAAACAAATATTTAAATACACAAATATAAACACTAGCGTTTAGGCATACACAAGAACAAACAACGTATGAAAGCCAAACAATGGAACCTACAAACAAATATTCAAGAAACATATATAAAACTAAAATAAAAACTCACACACACACACACCACACACACACACACACAAATGCAAAAAACATTAGGATGAGGCATGCAAACAAACAAATTGCAAACAGGTCCCTGCCATCTTAACTGGTCAGGCAGAAACCATTCATTTGGCTCTATCTGTCTCAAACAAACCTTCTTATTTTCTCCAAAAGTATACTCATGTGTGTGTGTGATGCATGTGCGTGCGAGTGTGCGTGTGTGTATATGCAGTGTGTCTGCAAATAGAAAGTGTGTACGTGCGTATGTGATGTTTACGTGTGTACGTGCGTATGCCTGTATGAGTGTACGTGTGAGTATTTATGTGGTTGTGTATGTGTTTATCTGTATAAATTTGGTGTTGTTGTGTGTGTGTGTGTGTTAGAACTTGGAGGGCCACCCCCAAGTTACAAAGCAGTATCTTTATGAAAAATCACTTTTCAGCTTTCACACTGGGAAACCGTTTCAAGTAGAAAATTGATTAAAAATATTTGCGCAATAGGGAAAAAAAAGATTGCCAGTCTGATTTTTGTCACATCAATAAAAACATGGTAGTTTTTGGCCCACCCGTCAAATTTCAAATTAAGGCCTCGTTAATGTTGCCGCTAGATCGGCTCTGGATAAAAATAAATCATTCAAGATATGTTTAATATATCAACTAATACATTTAAACGTATCCACACACACACACCCACGCGCGCGCGCACGCACGCACACACACACACACGTAAACATGATACATGTCAAAGAAGATAATACGCACATTACACCGTCGTCAAAAAGATGACGGTGCAAACGGAGTAATAAAAATAATAAACCAAGGGAATGAACAGAATAAACCAGAGAATAAACAGTGCAATTCACAATAGAATTGTCAATCAAATTTAAAAAGATTCACTGGCAACAATGGAATTGTTTGCAGGTTGTGCGGACTAGACCGACAACCCCTTATGTGGGAGGTGGCGATTTTGTCACGCCAATATGTGTTGAAAGTGGAAGAATATAAATTCCTTTTTTTATCATTTTTTATTCTATCTATTTTTGTTTTTTTTTATTTATTATTAATAATATGATTTTTAGATGATTTCAATCTTATTATGAAGCTATATATTATTTTAAATTCACAATAGACATTATCAGTTCTTAAAGAGATTGCTATGGGAATGTAGCAGATATAGTCGAGCAAATTAATTCATCGTAAAAGACTTTCGCCATATTAAACGTGTTCGATTTCATGGATTAATAAATTTCACATTTAATATTCATCAGTATAATTTTACTTTTAATCAATCTGCTTAATAAATTATCGACTTCAATCCTAGATCTGTTGAGAAAATGAGTTTTAAAAACAGCAACGTGTCTAGACAAGAACAGCGTAGACAAGTGTCTCAGCAACAGCAACAGCAGCAGCAACAACAGGAACAGCCACAACAACGCCAGCAATATCTTAGACGACAACGACAACATGAGCGTCAGCAGCAGTATATTAATCAAGTTGTGGGTGGGGCAGATAATTGGAGCAGCAATTCATCGTTGTTAGGTTCGGATTCATGCAACGATACAACACCAACAACAACCGCAACTGCAACACCAACAATAATGGCAACGACAACTCCAACAACAATAATATCAATATCAACACCTATTTCCACACTAACGCATGAACCTTCTCAAGTGGAACAAGCACATTATCTCACACACGTGCAAAGAGATTTGTCATTTTTACAACAACAACAAAAACTGAAGCAGCCCCAGCAACAACAACAGCTGCAACAACAACAACAGAAACCACAAATAAACAAACCCAAGGCCTGCCTTTTGCAAGAAGTATCGAAACCTGCTTTCATCAAACAATCCGGCTTCCATCGCTATCTTTCTCTCACACTGTCCGATCCCAACAAAGTCAAACCGAAACCGAAAGTCGTTTCTGGCTTGCAGGTAAAGTTCCGTTCTCTGTCATTTCCTTACAATTTTGTAATTAAATTTTTAAATAATTATATTTTTAAATAAATTATTTGGAAAGTTGATTCTAGGGAACGAAAACATACAATCATTAGAAAACATTTCAAAATTACTTTAAAAATATTAAAAAGAAAGTTTCGTAATTATTGAGTTGAAGCAAATATTTCTTCACAAAAAATTTAATTGGCTGAATAATTTGAAACTTTCCTTCAAAAAATAAAAAAGTCATTAGGCGGAAGTTTTTATTCGCACTTCATTTACTTTTCAAGGTGAACGAAATTCGAACATTGGAATGTATGAGAGGTACTAGGTGTAAGAAGGAAGCATGAACAAATCTCGAATGTTTGCTCTAGGTATCAGGGCTCTCTCAGGTTTCCCCAACTTCAAATAAACATCTTTCGCTCCAGATGCTCTGGCAAAGTTTTGTTTTAAAAACAAAGAGCAGGCTAATTGATCCATAATGATTTATTTTGAATCTACAGACAACAAAGCTATTGAAATGTCATATGAACGTCTTCAAACATGGCTACATATCATAATTTAAAATTTTTTTATTTGAATGTTCGTATGTACTGAACAAACACGTGATGAACCTTTGATGAACAATTGATAAACGTAGAAAGAAACTTAAATGAATAAAGAACATAGAATAAACATACTATGGATGAGCAATGAACATTTGACGAACATGTGATGAAAACACAATGAACATACGACGAACAAACAGTGAACATACAATGAATACAGCCGTACAACCTATTACCCTGATGTAATGAGCGAGCGGCTCAACTAGTGCTCGTTCGTGACATCAGCAATATGGCGGACGAGAATGTGTTCAGTTTACATCAGAAACAATTAAAAAACAAAAATGAACAAATAACTTCAAAACGCAATATGAAATTACTGACATATCAATTTTTAATTTTTCATATAAAACTGATGCTACAGTAAATGGTCAAGACAAAACATAATGAGAAAAACTACGAAGGAAAACTGTACCGTTGAAAATTGAAGGAAGCACACAAGATCATTAGCGAGAACCACTGAATCCAGTTACGATTGAAATATTTTCGAAAGAAGTCGACTGAGAAGTTTGGTAAGTTACAAACGATTCATTTGGGGCAAAGACAAAATTTTCTCAATTGGGGACTCACCACTGGTTCATTGCAAACCGTCAACAGTATCGATCGCAAACAATTTTCCAGGAACCTTCAAAATAGTATCTATCTAACAAGATGGAACGCAACCGACACGTCTAGATACACGTTTAGAGATAATCCAAATGACCAGCTCTACAAATCTACAATGCATTACAATGTGAGTTGAACACACATGCAGAGACACACGCATACATTAGGTTGCTTGCAAACACGTACGCACATACACGTATGCGAAAAAACGATCCCATATACACGTACACAAAAATGGACACCCATAGAAGTGCAGGTACATAGAAATGGATGGACACTCGTACGATATTACACGTACACGTTCGCGTACGTAAGCCTGGGCTCAAATCTGTTTGCGCTTCATATATCATCGCTGCCTAATTAAAGAGCCAACCGCATGATATGACGATGACGATGATGAGGATGGTGATGACGACGACGAAGATGATGACGATGATAACGAGAGTCTTTAAATATTTTATCCTTCTTTCAACAAACCTAACTTTCATCATTCAACACAAGTGCAAACAAGTTTCTAATCAATCCATCAATCACAGACACATCTTTCTGTTTGACTGACAAATAAATGCCCACGCAACTTAAACAAATCACCATCGATGTAGCATCTTTCTGTACACACAAAAACCGATAATTTCTAATATTTTATAACATAAGTAGAGCTAATCAAATCTACCAATTTTTAACTTATAATACTTTACAATAATTCTTTCGTTTTTTTAAACAATAGTTTGATGGCTGTTTATCAATTTATTGAAATTAATGAGAAATTTGTTGAAATTCATTATGATATTAATAGCATAATATGTATACATAAATGTATATATACATATATATATGTTGGTAAAAGACCATAATTTTTACAATATTCTATAAATTCTACCGAATGTTTGGCGTTAATATGTTTGTAGTTCGTTTTACAAACATATTAACGCCAAAAATTCGGTAGAATTTATAGAATATTGTAAAAACACACACGCACACACACACACACACACACATATATATATATACATATGTGTGTATAATGGGTAGGTATGTCCAGTATGGTACAATGCATGCTTGCATCATGTGAGGAATCCATCCAGCTGATGCAATTAATAAAACGAAGCAAGTGTACAGTGTGTGTTTGTGTGACCGTGCGTGCGTGCGTGTGTGTGTGTGTGGATGTATGTGCGTGTGCATACTCTTCTCTATCACAAACAAACTTGCTAATGTTTAAGGAAAATTATTAAGCAGTAATACATGTTATATAAACATTTTTTCCTTTTTCTTTCTCTGTCCTTCTGTTTGACTTACTGTCCATCTTTCTCTTTTTTTCTGTCTTTCTCTCTCTCTTTCTCTCTCTTTTTCTTTTTCTATATATATATGTATTTATAATTTATAATATATATATATGTATTTATAATATGCGTATACATGTACCAATGAACGTTTATACATAATTCTTTCTGTGTGTTTACGGGTGGATGTACAGTTGTTTACATGGGTGTATGTACATAAGTGCACATGTACGTGTTTGTCATCTCATGTCAGGCTTGTTTGCTCTGTTTAAACATACGTTCGTTCGTTCGTCTGTTTGTTTATGAGTTAACAAGTTCTAAATTTACTATGTTTTTTATTAAGTAATTTTTCCATGTTAACTATATGATGCACAAAGCTCTTAGATCAAACAAAGGCAGATAGCTCTGTTTTTCAGAGATAAAGAACTCAGTCTGAAAATTATCGAACAAAAAATAGACATCAATGAATTATTTTTAAAAGTCTTCTGAATTATTTGAATAATGCATTATTAATTTTTAATACCTGTTAAAATAAGACGACTTTTCTAAGAAATATCACGAAAGGCAATTTAATTTTTTAATTCTACATTCTAGTTACTTTTATTTATATGAACTTAAATTTTAAAAAACAAATCTTTTAAAATAATTTCTTCTGTATTATGAAGTTAAAATTTAAAATACAAACATTATAAAACTATTTCTTCGGAATTAAGAATTGTTGTAAGTAGATGAGCGTATATTATTGGCGACGTTCTTCAACAGTTTTTGGTGTCACGAAAAAAATTTCTTTACTGATAAAGAGCTTCACAAATTTGATTTCAATGCATAACTTTAATTAGCTCTTCTATCATTAGATAGGTGTCGTCGTTCTATCGTTTATTCATCCACTCATTAATTCGTTTCCTCAACCAATCAATCATTCATTCATTCGTTCGTTCATTCATTTATTCGTTCGCTCGTTCTTTCGTTCGTTCGTTCGTTCATTCATTCATTCATTTAGTTGAGTGAGATTAATCCTTCACTCAAACAAACTTGATCTGATAACATCTGAAGGCGTCAAAAAATTTTAAGAAAATTATTTATTTTTCCAATTCTGTCATGAATAATTTTTAATGAATCATATTCGTTATAAAGGTCAAAAGTCAATATATGACGTCACATTCGTTAACATGTGACGTCACACTCGTTATTATCACGTGACAATCAAATTAGTTTAGCGGCAGATATATGAGCAAATTATTCATTCAATGAAACAAACTTTTTGTATTTGTTTTTGTTAATAAGTTGTTTTATCAAAATTCTGATTGAAAATTTAATCTTATACTAAAAGTCCATTATTAATTCAAAAAATAGTTAAGATGAAAATAATAATAATAATTATTTGATGAATGAATGAATGAATGAATGATGTTAAGGAATAATTTAGATAAATGGTTTCTAACTCTAATATATTGGAGGATGACGTAATCTGTGATGTGAACAGGCTGTATGTATACACAACATGGCTTCATGTGTGTTCATTCATCTGCAAGAACGTACAAATCGACTGTTTCTATTGTTTCTATACATCTGTTTCTGCTAAGCCATCTTTCTTATGACTGTCGGTCACAAAATTAAAAATACAAAACTAAGTTAGCAGTTCCTTTTACGACACACAGTTTCAAGATTTTATTAAATTTATTTCTTACAATCATATGCAAATTTTTTAATTCTCTTTTTCAAAAAATTAATGGAAAGATCGTGTAAAGTTGTATTTATGATACACCTCTTCACTACTTTTCAAACCCACACACAGTTTTAAATTCACCATACACCCACGAGGGAATCCTTATAAAGAACTAAAACAAGAAGTTATCATGCAGACTGACGTACTGAAACCAGGTTGAATGACCTTGAAGAGCCGAGGTCAGCGAACCTTCAAATATAACAAGCTACTCAAAAAAATGGTATGTCAACAAAACCATCAAACAACGCTTGTGTATGAAACAACAACTATGCTATCATATTAACATAAATAGTGACCTTAATACAAACAACATCAATTATACAATCAGCAAAGACAATTAAACAACAATTAAACATCGACACCTATGCAACTTTAATGACTAACAAACGCAGTAGGAGGTAGAAGGAATAGCACAACAAATACCCACAAACAAACAACAACAACAACAATTACATTAACCACACAAACAACAACAATTATATCAACCACACAAACAACAACAATTATATCAACAACACAAACAACAACAATTACATTAACTACACAAACAAATAACAATTACATCAACTACACTAACAAAATTACTTTAACAACACTAACAAAATTACTTTAACATCACTAACAAAATTACTTTAACATCACTAACAAAATTACTTTAACATCACTAACAAAATTACTTTAACATCACTAACAAAATTACTTTAACATCACTAACAAAATTACTTTAACATCACTAACAAAATTACTTTAACATCACTAACAAAATTACTTTAACATCACTAACAAAATTACTTTAACATCACTAACAAAATTACTTTAACATCACTAACAAAATTACTTTAACATCACTAACAAAATTACTTTAACATCACTAACAAAATTACTTTAACATCACTAACAAAATTACTTTAACAACACTAACAACAACAACAATTACATTAGCCACACAAACAACAATTACATCAATAACACTAACAACAAACACTTCTACATCGGCAACAGTGAAAACAACCACAAAAAAATATTATCTATTAAAAATTTATTTGCCACGATTCTTTTCAAGCTGGTAGCTACAAATTTCTGAATCGTTGTTGTGTTGTTGCTATTATTATTATTAATGTTGTTGTTGAGTG